GTGTCACACAAGTTAACTTTTACGGCCAGTGGTGAGTTTTGGTTCAAACACAACAGTTGTTACTATCTGCGCAACCACGTCTATAGCGTCAAAATGAAATCGTTCAAACCTTCCTTGCATGCAAACTTCTGCACCGTCAAATTTTCTCAGTTGTGGAACAGACTTCTGACTAAAGTGGAAGCCTCCAAACCAACCTCTGAATTTGGTCGGTTACTAGTTAGCTTCTCATCAGCTGGCAACTTTCCCGAATACACCGACACTATCATTGGTAACATCTCGTATACTGGATCCTCTTAACTTATAGTTGGACACCCACCACACCTACACTGGCCTTTCATATGGAGCGCTGGGGAAACTACCAAAAGTTATGAACCCAAACTGACGGCACATTCTGCCCTACCCGACGTAGTAATCAAAAACAGAAGTTCGACACTACACGACTGCATGAAATCTGTATTCTTAAGTATTCAACAGAGAAACCATAAATAATGGACGCCGTAGCGAGAAAATTAAGTAGAGCGAAACACGAACATAGGGAACGCACTCCTTGTTGACGTCCCAGCTTCTTTCTCTGCCTGCTGCTTTTTCCCGCTGTTTCCTGCTTCACATAAGCAATTCAGTTCTAAATGTTGGCTTGGTCGTCATCCAGAATGAATTATTTAAAGAACAGACCTTGGCTGAAACTACCCTTCATGGGGGGTGACCAGAATTCACAATGCCCAACCACAACGAACAGAAATAAAAAATGTTCACTGGGCTAAAACCTCACAATTACCTAAATCTGGGATTCACTCACTACAAAAGTGACCAGGAAAGTCCAACACCTACCGACCACAAGGCTATCATGACCGGTGTAAACGGCGGACATGATGTCCTGAAAGTCCACTCGGTGCATTCAAACAAGTCTAGTGCCTCTGGATGCCGGAGTTGGAAAGGTGAAGATATTTGGCACTCGGTCGTAATATTCATCGAGATTATGAATCCCTGATGTGGAATGGTATCAATAAGCACGAATTATATGGTTTTGAGATAGTGAATGGAGTACAATAAGTAAGCGATTTGTGCATACATTCCCTCACAAACTTTTCATCATTATCTCAAATAAAAAGTACAGACTGTTACGATGGGAATATCAGCTTCAAGCTTTATCTTTTGCAGGGTAAAACATGTAGTGTCGAGATACGAACCTGGTTTTTTCTAGTGCGAAAACAACACCTCCACTTGTTCAACTTGTAAATTTTCTGCATGCTTATTCTGCTGGGATGTTTCGTTATATGAACACGCAGCGCTTATATCTTCCAGTGACAATAGGTGGGGGTTGAGATTACTTCCATGGAGATATGTTATGTACACAAAAACTTTTTCACAACTGTAAAAATGGTGTGTGCCTGTATATTCAGAAACAAATACTGCTATTATTTTTTTACTATTGCTCAAGAGTTATTTGCGCTGTGGGCCATGAAAGGAGAATCCGGAAGTCGTGGCAGAATCTGCCGGGCATAAACGTCTCAACTACCGGAGTCCCTGGCGAGGACAAGGGGTAATAACCTATCCGGCAGTCACACTCAACGATAATCCAGATTTATGTAGACAGATTTACCGCAAGGATCACGACAAGACAAATAATCTCATGCCGTTATTTCTAAGGGTGAGCTTTTGGATGACTTCTTTCTTTGGCCATCTGCAACCTAGAGGCAGTACTACAGTGTTTATCACCGAAAAACAGCTGTCAAGCGTATCATAACAGTGAGCGCAGTTCTTTTGGACGCGAGAATCGCTAGTTACAACGACGTAACTATCTCTTCATCTCGGAAGTACTTCCGGCTGGTTGTTTGCGGTCGTCTGAACTGTTCAACTGCCAGTTTGTGGCCGTCTTCAAGGACCGTCCATCAAGAAACATCTTTCGTAGTCTAGACATACCCACCTAGGGCATTCGGTTACAACTGCTGATAAAGTGAAGAAAACTGAGTGTCAACTTCCCGTTGATAGGCTGTCTACTTTACCCTCTATTCTCCCTCTCATTTGTATCATTTTTATGTCAGATCCATTAACTATGATAGCACGTAAAACTAGGCTCAAGCCCTAAGTCTTATAACGAGGTCAGCAGGTGAACAGAATCTAGTATTTGCAGAAAAGATGGGCACAGCAATACCCTTTAGCCCTGTCACACCAGGCCCACACCAGTTACTAAACCGGTAAACCCATGTAGCCGGGGTGACAGTCACACGGCCTCAAACATATCTTTGGTAGAAAATGAAGCAAGGAGGAAAAGCGCATGTCGACCAACGAATACACCGACAGGTGCTACGCTTGACTTCAGCTCAAAGGAGGCAAACTACTTATTCTTCAGCAAACAGCGAACATCTGATGACTGTGCTGTTTGCAAAGAATCGACGTCAGAGGCTCAAAAAGCCTTCGCGTGCAACATCTATCTAAACTGGGTACACTGCAAGTATAATAATGGTATACCAGGTCGGTGCTGCAGCTTTATAAGGAAGCACCCATGTAGATGGATGTGGTAAGTGTTCAGAATGTCGGAAATCACCCGCTGTCACCACCGGCAAACTGAAAAACCTGTCACAGTCAAACGCTACAAAGCACGAGCTCCCATAATCTGCCCTCAAAAACTTGTCAGGCTCCACAAGTGCGCAAGCGTCACATTAGAGTTACGAAGGAAATAGCTGCCACTCCAAGTGAGGCAACAACAAAATACTCACCTTAATCGATGCCACCCGGACGACCCAACGGAACTAAACAACCTGAAGAAATAGGTTGTGTTGAGAATGCATAGTCGGAAGCGAATGGGTAAAAGGTGGACCGAAAGCACCAAGCCCAATACCATGCACCCACAGGACTAGAGAACGGATATCATCATTCTGTTCAACATCCCTGTACCAACAGATCCACTCCTAGAAAAAAGGAAACGTTCTGATCAGGAGAAGTGGGGCGACTACTGCTAGAAGTTAGAAATGGAAACCGTCGCAGCTAACTTGTGCGGCCCCCCGAGGAAAAAGAGCACCTCGAGATAAGACGCCACCTCTCGGGGTACCAGCAATAACAGCGAAACATCCGGAGAACATGCTGCCACTGTCGGACCGACTGTAAGGGTGAAACCAGATAAACCTTGGATCACCAGAGGGGACGGAGAGAAATTTCTTACTTGTCACGAGCACTTTTCATTAGCTACTGATGATATGCCTTTCCACCCCTGTATTCCCCAACCCTAGGATCCGAAATAAGGCGCATCTCTTCCGCATATTATTACCAGTAACACTTATCTTTCCGTAAGTACTTTTCACTCCCCCTTTTCTCGACCCCCTACTCACCCTATTCCTGGCACTTTTTAAGTAGAGCTTAATACTTGCCTGCAGGTACTTACAACAAACGGTTAATTGATCCTATCAGCAGCTACGTTGCCCTCCAGACAAACCAAGCTAAAATTTGCGGATGAAATACCTTCAAATAGACAATCACCGCTTCCAAGGCTTTAAGCAGGAAAAACGCAAAGACTTCTGCGGCCAGCAAAGGAGTGCAACCGAACAAAAAGAACCGAGGCTCGAGACCCAGAAGCCTCTCTACTCACACAGTTGATGTGTCTCCTGTTTGTCAACGATCTGCCAGATAAAATATCCTCACCCATTCTCCTCTTTGCCGACGACATAAAAATTTGGGGGGTGGTAAACGAAGAAGCTGATTGTACACCACCACAAGAGGACTTGCAGCAACTCAAACTCTGATCGTCGGAAAATGGCCTGAGCCTCAACCTGGAGAAGTACAAAGTAATGCACATCAGCAAATATAAAGCAAGTATGACCGACTTTCAGTATATGTTGAGCAACCTTGCTATCACCAGAGTGTCCATGGAGAAGGATTTGGGGCTCAACTTCTCCGACACCTTGGACACCAGCTCCAACTACAAAGGTATGACAGCCAGAGCGAACGCCATTCTACACTTTCTGCGTAGACAGCTTGGCACCCTCACTCCCGAACTTTTCCCCACCATTTTCAAATTCTACGTGCGGTCGCATCTAGGGGTCTTCAATACGGTGGCTCCTCCAACACTCAAGAGAGACTCTAGTCTCCTTGAAAGAATACAAAGAACTGCAACAAAATGTGTTGTGGGGCTAAGGGGAAAGACGTATCCTGAAAGACTTAGACACCTATACCTATTTACCCTGGGTTATCGCAGGGAGAGGGGTGACATTGTTAAGGTGTACAAGATCGCCCATCAGGCAGACCATGCAAATAAATCAATTTAAACTGCAACTGAACGATCTTCACGAGGAAACGCCATTAAGATAGCACACCAGAGAGCCAACACCATACTCAGGTCCAAATTTTTCTCCCTGAGAGTATGTGCTTTGTGGAATGCCTTGCCGCGACATATCGTTATAGCTCCCTCGGTCAACGGATTCAAGGGACAGTAAGAGAGTTATGTCTTCTCTCATGGTCTACCACGGACGAATCCAGGCAGTCACCAACCATACTAGCCCCAACTCCCTCCGGCCTACCACTCACTATCTCTCTCTTCAACATACACACACATCACCTACTAGTTCTCCTGCAGGAACCAAACCCACTTTACCATCTCGGCAATCCCTACACACTTTTCTCTTTCTTTTATTTCTCTTTATCACCCCTCCTTTTCCCTTCTTTCTTTTCCTTTTTCTCTTCCCTTAATTTTTTCTTCCCTCTTTTACCACTACTATACTACTGTCCTTCAGGTGCCTTCACAGACAGGAGTCACGGCAATCCCCTGAACCTCCCAGCAACCCGTAGCTCCCCAACCGCCCTACAAACCGCAACTTACTAACCCACAAAACATCCACCTCACCGAAGCTAAAAGCAAGAAAGCAGAGGGGATTTCCTCGTCCACTGCAGGGGTGAACCGAACAACTCGAACCAAGCCCTAAGAACTACACTCGAGAGATCAAAAACCACCGGTTTTCTACGCTCGCACTATCAATATTGGAATGTTGGAAATATATTGGAATCAGTTGCTCGAAAGAAACCTAAGAATGACCAGAGCGCCAATTTTGGATTTTCTGTTACTGTGGGTAAGCCCTGTCTGCGAAGGAAGAACGCCACTTCTAATTTTGAAAGCCATTTGAAAGGGACGAGTTTAAAGGCTGTCGCGACAACGACTGAAATAACGAGTCATGTTTCTTCATTTTGGCTGGAAAGGCAGATTATCATAAAATAGAAAATTCTAATTGGTTAACTGAAATAATTATTTCAGTTTTTTCTAGGATGGCATTTAAAATGACTCTATGAAGGATGGAAAGCGTTTGTTTACTTTCAGGCTAATCTTAGTCGTTATACTCACTAATAATCATTATGCTTCTAAGGTAAATGTTTCAAATTTAAAACACTGTGAAGCTTAAGTTTCACAACCTCCATGCTAAGATACAATCTCCATACACATTAAGACATTTATATGACTTTATATTTATTTCGGCATACTTAGATTTATGTCAACCTGAAAGCACTTCATGTTCAGCTTCTAAGATTTGGGGCCTACTGAGAGGTATTCGAAATGCGCCGAGATTCTCGGTAAATTTGCGTGGCTAGGAATTTCTATGGGACTATGAAATTTCACCGTCCTTGAGCGACTTTGAAGTGACTTTGAGAGCACTATTAAGGAGGTTATTTCTTCCCAGTTTTTAAAACGAATGAAATTACAGAAGATATGATTTATTTGACGACGTTTAGGAACTTTTTTGTTTTGACTGCTTTTTTGTGCTTAATGGAAATGTATATGCAATGAAAATATCTATTTACGGGACCACATGTAAATATACCATCTGGACTGTGATGCGGATGCTAATAAGCCTCTAGATGGTTAGCTGTCTCCTGTAAACGACTTGTCTAAATCCCCAGTGAAGGGATTTAAGAATTAGAACTCAAGAATTGAAAATATTAGACTCATTGCACTTGATATTAGTTTGGTATCAAAGCGAGGCGGGAAGCAAACATTGAATAGGTCCTATTTTCATTGCGGACGCTGAAATAATGCCTGTATTCAAGTGAATGCAAGTAACGCAACTTGTCTACCAGCATTCATGTTGGTCTTTTGGGCTATTAGCCACATTTCAGACCTAAGGGATAATGATAGCCGGAAAGTTCTCTCTTAATCGCTGTGATCTTCACTACAGTCATAGTTCAATCTTGCTATAAAAACAGTGAGAAGGTCTGAAATTAAGCGCTGTGGTATAATCCTGCTGGTAGGCAACATGATGAGTGTGATCTTTCTGCGCTTATCGCACTGGAGTAGGTGGGGTGCAATTCGAGCTAATGAAATGTTTGAAAGTCAGCCATCCAGTCAAATTTACACAGACTTCTGCTCATCACACTTAGATAACTATGTATTTTGTCATCCAAACAACAGTGTTGTCTGCATACTGCAAGTCAGCTACATGTCTCACAACCAGATCTGTCTCTGTGAATTTGGAGGTACCTACGGTTATACTCACTAGCATGTGTATAACAAAGTTGAGCAGGGATGGTGACAGTTGCATCCTAGGCGGGTACCTGTTTACCGTCACTTCATGCGACAACTCTTCATTAACCTTTACACTTCTGTGTGACTGTGGCAGGAGCGCCTTGATTATCATTGGGTAGTTGCATGGTACATGCTTCTCAGTCAGACTGCCGAAACCGTTGGTCGAAAGAGGTGAGTACCGCCTTCAGGCCAGGAAATGTGAGAAACGTTGGTGAGTATGGTTTTGTTCCTATACTTTTCGAAAGGAGTAAATCTGACCGGTACATTCTCGTGTAAGCTTGAGACCTGCCAAGTTTTACAAGTTTGGTGTCGATAACTACACACCTTAGGCTTTGAGAGTACGTTATTCGTCAAACTGATTCTCTTTTGCATGTTTCAGTAAGTCTTCTTTCTTATAAATGGTAAATGTTAGCAATACTAGTCTGGTAGGTTTACCTCTAATTCTTGTGCCATATATAGTATCTCAATCATTTATCATTGTTTCTGCATCCCCATCCTCCACCGAAACCTTAATGTTGCTGTGACAGGTCGGTGCGGAGTTCAATAAAATCGGCCCGAAAAATAGCACATTTCCCCCCTACCCTGTGATCCTCCGTTATCGGTATTATGGGTTTTCTAGTTGAGTGGAAATCAGAACTAAACTTGGAACTTCAAAAAAGGCCGTTTATGTCCGGCCTCAAGCAGACGTTTCTTGGGCTTTGAGGTTACACACCTCTATTACTCACTCAGTTTCTTTTGCTACATCACGAGTGATAACTTGCAATATGGGTAATCGGGAGTTGTCAACTTCCTTAACAACTGTGTTAGCATTCAAGTCCCCCTAGATGGTCTTCAGCGTCTTTACCTTTTAACCTTTCTTCACATATCGGCCAACATTCCTATTTCATCTTTAATCCCTTCCAGCTTCTTATCTCTCAATTGCGATCCGAGTACACAGAACTGCACCACTGGTTTCCTGAAACCGCCCTCCAAATTGCACACTGGAGCTTTCAACGCCTACAGCTTCTGTGAGCAGGCTGCGCCAACCGCATTTCTGACATCTTGGGCCAAGGACTGATGCTGTATCTGTGAGACAAGCTCATAAGACTCAAGGGCGGTTATTCAGTCACCCTCAATCAAGCAATATGATAAATCAGCGAAGTCCACTCCTCGAGTTTTTGGGGACATAATGTGTAGTTTTCAGTCTTGCAGGTGCAGGTATAGCAGAGTCCTAAGAAAAAGGTTCACTACTTGACAATCCCAGTTGACGGTTGCTTGTGCGCTGTCCGGCTGAACGATAAAGTAGACTAAAAAGAGTAGTAAAACTCGCTGTTGTCTCTTTGTAACGTGTTTGCACACCCACCAACTCCAGTCCGGATAAAGGGAAGCACGATTTCTTTCGGGGACTTTCTGACCTGCTAGTGAAAACGAAATGTTCGGATGTAGTCGTAGTAGATGATTTCAGTGGAGAAGTGTAGGTGGGCAAAGTCAGAGAGAAAGACACTTAAGTAACGCTTTTTGAGTCCGATTTGAACCAACAAATAACGGCGATCGACTGCTATATATGTGCTCAGAAAACCATCTATTTCTGACCAGCTCGAAATTCAGGCATAAAGAAGGACCTTGTCTGACATGGCATCCACCGATCTCAACGGTGGACACAGAGGGGTTTCGAAGGATTGCTACTCCCTCTGAAGACTGCTTGGGTATGCATGTGTCTGTCACTGTGTTAAAGTAGAAAAAATACAACTGCACGTAGGCTTTGAATCAGTCTATCTTAGAGTTGCTTCTGCTCTTCATTGTGATCGCGGCTGACAGAAATGCACTCGTGCATCCATTATTTCAAATAAAGCTGCTCTGATGCACTGGACCTTCGTAACCTCTTCCTGAGGGTGTTGCGGTCTTCTGCGCTGTTTTTACAGCAAACTGGAGATTAAGGTAAGCTTCTTCTAAATTAGTGACGTTCGATTTCGATAACCGCTAAGCCACTTTCTCTTCGAAAACGTTCTTTGTGTTCTCGAACGAGTTTGTACGAGTCGTATGACTCCCTATAATTGGTCTCAACCACTGTTGGTATCAAGCTTCAAGAAAGGTGGAAAGTTCCTCAGTGATGACTGCAGGAAAGTCAGCCTGATGAAAATAGTGTATAAGATTTTAAGTCCAATTATCATTAGACGTCAGAATAGAGCTCGGGAACAGCAAATCTGAGAAAACCAGGCAGACTTCAGACCTAATCATGATTGAATCAACCAATCATTCACTCTCTCGCAGGTTCTGTGACACAAACGCCTAACGACCACCGGGGCTGGCTCTGTTTCTCGACCTGAGGATGTCATTGGACTCCGTCGATCCAGAGGTCGTACGGCAGTGCATTGATTGGAGTGCAGGGTATGCGCATATTGCTGTGAAAGGCTCTGTATCCGAACATCTGTTGGCGTATGAGAGCCTATTGTGAGTTCTGTACATCAGCAGCTTATAAAAGTCTCTCTCTCGTCGTTTGATTTCACAGGGATCAATTTCGTCACTGTTAAGCTTCATAGTATACACGATGTACACAAGTGACAAAGTCTTATGACGTGAAGATGCGGTGTCTTCTGGTCACATGAAGCGGCATTTCGATAATGTTTGGGGTGCGTTTCTCACATTCAAATGCAAATAATACTCTAGGACTGGTCTTCACTGTCACCGTGTAAAGTAATGGAATGAATTTGTTGAGCACATCGAATCGAAATGCTCCCAGCGACTTCCTGCACTTGTGCAGACATAGCCGTTTAAAGTCGGTGACGCAAAGCGACTACTGGGTTTTGATCACAGATGTCTTCGTAGCATCACTTGCGTTTGGTAGATTCACTGTGTGAGCAGTGTTGAGGTCAAGCGAAGGGTACTAGGCATGACAAGCAAGTCGACTAATGAGGTTGTGAACCTTGGTCGACTGAGATAACTTGGGCATGTACTGCTCATTCTGAGCCATGGCCTTCCTTGATGTGCGGCAGGCTGGAGGAAGTTGGATTCCGTTGGAATAAGGTTCAGGATGGCCAGAAACAGTCCTGGCACCAGTCGATAAAGTCTCTAACTGTTGGTCTGAGCCGTGTGGGGAGATATAGACTACCTAGTGGGGTTCTGCAGACAAAGGGGATCAGTGATTGAGAATTTCGTGACGAGGCTGATAATCAGTCACAATAGCTCCAATGTATTCACTCCTCAGCATTTTCTAAAGAATAAATATTCGCACTGACCGTTTTCTTTAGATTCTTTTTTCTCTCACATTACTTTATCTACATTGATATCAGTCGTTTTCTGTACACTTGTCCTCTTCATGCTACTGTCCGTTGTAGAAACTTGAGCTGATGCTCCTGTGTGTGAAGTTCTACGTTGATTTTGTCAGTAAACATTGATGTAAGACTTAAAAAATCGAAAAGAAGCGTTCTCACTTTTGTCGTTGTATACACTTTTTGATTGTCAGGTCTTTCATTGATATGCTTTGTCCGGGTAATGATCTCATCCAGAAACTATTATTATTATTATTATTATTATTATTATTATTATTATTATTATTATTATTATTATTATTATTTGTCCCTTGGGTTCCTAGTGGAACATAGGGCTTCAGTAGCACGTGTCCATTGCACTCTGTTCTCTGCAGTCTTTTCAACTTGGCTCCACGACTGCCCAGAAGCTTTCATTTCTTCCTCACATAACCTCCTCCACGTCACCCTCGCCTCGAACGCCGAACTCGTCGGTTCCCTTTTGGATTACACTCGACAGCCTGGGCTAGCGCCCGATGTCCCCGAATGGTCTTCTCATTGTATGCCCAATCCATCTCCACTTTCTTCTATCCAGAAACCATACTCTTCTCTAATATTTCACACTAGTCTCAAACGTGATGATGATGCATTCATAAGTCTTACACAAATCAGAAAACGTCTCGCGTTTTCCCAACCATAACATAAGTCGCATAGGTATCAATTGGTAAACACTGATCATCGGTTTTGTGACTACTTCGTGGGTTTAAATTGATTTCTTCGATAAGTGATATGACTATCATTTCTTCATATATGGGAATCAAATACGATCCCCTCTGACTGGTCCGAATCACTGGTTATCTGTCTTCAAGAAAGGCGAGAAGTCCTCTTATGGTAACCACAGAGGAATCAGCCTGACGAACATAGTGTCCAAGATCCTAGGTTTTATAATTCTTCGACACCTGAGTGGAGCTCGGGAACAGCAAGCCCGAGAAAACCAAGTAGGCTTTAGACCTGGCCGCGGGTGTATCGACCAAATATTCACACTGCGTCAGGTTCTGGAACACAGACACGCTTACCGGCGCCCGACACTGGCTGTATTTTTTGACATGAAGGCGGCATCCGACTCCGTTGATCGAGAAGTCTTATGGCAATGTCTCACTAAAAGGCGTGCCGAGTAAGTACATCACCTTATTGAAGGCTCTCTACTCGAACACTTGTGGGCTTGTTAGAGCCTACGGTGAGATGTTTAGTGAGCCCTGTACGTCGAGTGGTGTTCGTCAAGGCTGCCCTTTTCTCTCCACTCTTATTCAATTTCATCATAGATATTCTTATGGAGATCTCCATCTCGTCACCAAATTACACAGAGGTTGACTTAATCGCTTAATCACTTACTTGGGAAGTAAGATCAGCCTTGGTGGGTCAGCGGCCGATGAGATCTCTGCACGCATACAAAAGGCTTGGCTGGCTTTCGCCGACTAACACCACCTGTGGCACCGCCGTCATATCCGATTGTCTACTAAGAGTAGCGTGTACTCCACAGCAGTTCACTCTGTTCTGCTGTATGGCTGTGAAACATGGCCATTGAAAGTGGAAGATATAAAAAGGCTTCAGGTGTTTGACTACCACTGCCTTCGTAGTATATGCCATACTCCATAGTGTCATCACGTGAGTAACTCAGAAGTCAGGAGTAGAGTTCTAGGGAGTAGAGATAAATCAGTTGACGAGGTTTTGAACCTTTATCGACTGAGATGGTTGGGACACGTATTACGTATGCCTAGTCGCCGATTACCTTGTCACACAATGTTGACCGAAGTAGGTCCGGGCTGGTAAAAGGCCCGAGGTGGCCAGACTGAAACGTGTCACCAATGTATGAAGTTTTTGACTGTTGGTTTGAGCCATGTGGGGCGATGCAGACTAGCGGGTTGAGGTCGTCGGGGCAAGAGAAACCAGTGGTTGGAGACTCTGCGTGATATGGCTGAGAACCAATATCGATTTGTACTTCATAGTTCTTTTGACTGAATTTTCTTATCTTCATCTTCCAGTTCACTGCCTTTTTACTTGATGTACTGATATAAGGTGTGGCAACTCGGACTGTTACGCAGTAATGCCTGATTCTATGTTGATGATGATCTTTGATTTCTAATCGCGTCACAATAACATCAAAGTAGTAATCAAGATTTGTGCACCACCATAAGCCTTGTTACGCACATATTTTAACACATTGATTTCCTGTTGTTGATTTCGATAGTTTTGTTTTTTAGTTTGTTTCTAGGACCTCAATTATGCCCAATCAACTCTCATATCTTGCTGTAGTACAAAATTCATCAGTCTACTTTTGGTTCGTACATCATGATCAAAAGTTACCTCTTGATAACTCATTAGCAAATAATAATACCAGTGATTCTAAAGTTTCTGATTCTCCTGTATTGACCTACAAGCTTCAATCAACATCTACATTTCCTTTGCACTCAATTTGTTGGGATCCTAAGTCATGTAAATTAGCTGCAATCGACAAGTTTGGTTCCAATGTTTGCTTTCGACGTTTGTCTGTGGGCGAAAATAGTGAGTGCGAGACAAACACATCAAATACATTATCTTTCAGTCTACAATCTCAAGATTCTGTAGCAACTTGTATTGCTTTTCCTCAAAGGTCAGGAAAATATCTAGCTGTTGGAGTTAATACTGGCTCAGTAAATTTATATAACTGCCATAAACAGATTTCATTTCGTTGTCAACTCCGTTGTGATAGTATTCCCTGTGGAAACTCATATTCCAGAGAAATTCAGCCTACATGTATGAGCTGGGCTTTAAACGACCGTATCGTTGCTTCTGGATACAGCAACGGATCTGTCATCCTCTTCTTATCTGCATCTAGTACTGCTACAGGTGAATGTGAAAATTTCACTTTACCGTTTCCCTCAAATTCCGGTTGCAGTGACTCTTCTATTCCTGCATGCAGTACTTTGAAAACATCTACGTTGGACTCTACTTTATTATTTTGTGCTTATGCTGATGGTTCTATCATTTTATGGAATATAGAATGGCCAGTTAATGGTGATGCATGTCAGCGTATCTTAAATCATTGGGATCCTAAAGTCCTTGCATTAACCAATCCACTTAATTTGATAAGCTGCGAGCACCATGTTGATTTGGCCTTATCGTCTCCTAGTGATGGTTTACTGTTTAGCGTAGGAGCACCAGATTTGCATTTACGTATGTGGAATCTATCTACATCTTATTCTGGACCGATGAAAACTTTGTCACCGACTGATGAACAACATGGATATTTGAGTGTTGATGTAGCCTCAAATACATCAACGCTTGCAACTGGCTTAGTAAACGGAGAAGTTTGGCTTTATGATACACGTGATTTGCGTTCACCTACTCGATGTATTTACACTGGTTCAAATGTTCCTGTTTATTCAGTTTTGTTCTCACTCACTTTTCAATCGGGTGATAAAGTGAAGTTTGATTCATCTAAATCACATTATTCTACTAGTCTACATGAAGGGAACTCAACTACCAAGTTGACAGATGATAAAACTTCTGTATGTAGCGCATTTGCAGCAGACAACCCATTGAATTCAACACGACAACCTTTTAGTGAATTAACTAACCAAGCTACTGATCAACCTCAACGAAGAAAATGGGCGTCACTGCTTCGTGAATTTCCTATGCCAGAACTTTCATTGTCATCAGATCCGAGTGTCTCTGAATCAATGAGAGATCAAGGTTCAGAAAAACTAAGCTTTACTGATACCAAAAAGGAGGCTATATATTTTAAATCAGAATTTTGTACAGATGACAGTCTCAATGGTACAGCGTCATCAAACAAGTTTCTCCCAATAGAATTATTGAATCATAATAATGATGGTACAACTACAAAGGAGACACCACATATCTCTTTGAACATAACAACTGAACTGTTAGACCAATACTTTAGTGCTCGACTTGGCTCTGTGATGTCTGAGATAAACTGGTTACACAACCAGTTGCTCTTCAGGTATACAAAACTTGAGGGAAAACTCGATCAAATATCTGAACAATTCCATACTGCAGTATTACAGATGAAACGCGAAACTGATTTGCTTAGATATGCGTTAAATAAGCGTTTACCGTTCTAAATGAGACTATTTTGTATTGCTTTGTTTAGACATACTACCAACTACTCTTTTATTTTTTACGTATCTCATACATAGACTATGAATTCTTGTTTGTACCTTGAACCAACTGTAATAATAAACGTGATCAGAATGTAAGTGTTTGGTGTTTGTTAACACTAGCAGTAGTCAGTATGAATCATCTGTACGATTCCATTCACGATTATGTGAAACTTCCCAAGGTAAAATAATTCTTTGTATCTCTTAATCCAAACCGCATTTTTGTGTAATATGCATTTGTACACTGTTGGGCAGAGGGGTAGACCCTTAATACATGTTTGAATATCTCCACTGTGCCACAGGTCGAGTAAGATGCACAAGCACACTTTTTATTTACCGATTTTGTTGCCGCATCAGGAGTTTAAGCGAATAATTAAACAGTGAGATGTTCAAACTAGGCAGCATTGAACCATACCAGTTATGAATTATTACTGTGCATTTATTTAGGTTATGATCAACATGCACACATTTGCACTCAACGTATGTCGTGAACTGTATTTTGTGCCTCCAGTGAAGTGATTTTTCGTTAGTAGGGACTTTTTGATTCATAGGGATAAAACACGATGAGATAAATTCACGAGTTTTAAACTGGTGAAAAATGTCTTCGATCAAAGATTTGGGCGTAGTGTGTGGATTAAATGTTCTTCTTTCTATGATAATCGGGTTGTGGTTTACATTTCAATGTTAAAGCAGTAAGACAGTATCGCAGCAAGCCTAGGTGATTGCTGAGTAGACGGATTCGTATGCGGTTTTGAGTTGCACTGTAATGTGCAGAACTAAATGGCTAAGAAATAATACTTCCGGTCCGCAACTGGTTAAATCCCGAGAAAACCAAAGATTTGTTACTTTTATTATGAAGTCTTTCCTCAGCAAGGTCTCTAGACGAACGGATGTGTTGAAAAGGTCTTATTAACTGACTTTCCTCTTCTGCCCAAAACTCCACATTCGACTTCTACGCTACTCGCTTGGTGATACTACAAGTCACAACTAATGCTACGAAGGTAACGGTGGTCAAACACCTGAAGCTTTCTCATTTCCTCCACTTCTAATGTTTCAAAGCCATACAGTTGAACAAAGCGAACTGTAGAACAGTAAACTAGACCATTAGTAGACAATCGGATACCTGACTGACTGAAGAAAATCAGTGTAGAACCTCACACAACTGCAACGGTTCAAACTGCCACAGTTCACAGTAGTGTACAAAGGATAGGTGGGTGGAAAAAGAGTGATATCAAAGGAGATAAAGTGTGTCAGGATGAACAATCTGAGGATAAAGATTAGTGTGAGTATTCGAGATTTAGGAAATGTCAATTAGTGAACACATCCCCATTGCGACCAATTTTCAGCCATGTCACCAAGAATCCTCAACCACTGATTCCTGTAGTCTCGGGAAGCCCAGTCAGACAGTATACATCTCCCCAGGAGTCAGACACTGGTCGTACATCTTGATCTGACCACCCTGAACCCTCTTCTAACCTGATCCAACTTCCCCTAGCATGGCACCTCGAGGTAGGTAGTGGCTCAGCATGCGCACTACATTTCCAAGTTATCTCAGTCAACTAAAGTTCACAATCTCGTCAACAGCCATATTTCAGTCGTATAACAGGACAGAACGAACCGCAGCACTGTAAAATCTTCCTTTGACAGACAGCCAGATCCCTCACCAGTCGATGCGACAGATGACGCGAGTTGACAAACGAGCCTTCCATATCCGGGCTGACATTTCGTCAGCAACCACTCCATTCGGTTTGGTGCAACTCCCCAAGTAGGCGAAGTGGTCGGCACATTCAACTACTTCACTCCCTATCACTGAACCGAAAGTGGTTGCATAGCAGTCCTGGAGGGTCATCTTACGTTTGGCAGGTATGAAAAACATTCAAATTTCTGCACAAGACGGTATTGCATCATCGTCTTCGCCTAGTAGGACAATATTGTCTGCATACTCCAAGTCAACCAGGTGGCCTCCAGGGGGAAGGTCAATCCCTATGAAGTCAGATATACAGAAGTTTATTTCCATTAGCATACCTGTATTGACGTTAAATAGGAATGGTGACAGCGAATATCCCTGATGGACAACATTGGTTGTCGTTAATTCATATGACAACTCTCCAAAAGCTCCTAAACGGCTGCGTGGGTTCGAGAGCTTTGATTAGAGTTACATACTTGCTCGGTACGGCCCTCACAGTCAGACACTGCCACAACATCTCACGGTCAACAGAGTCAAATGCCACCTTCAGGCCAAAAATATTGCAAGTATCGGCCGTTGTTCCAGAACCTGTCGCAGGGTAAGAATATGCTCGTAGCACCCTTGTCCGGCTCCATCTGAAACCCGCCTGGTTTTCTCGAGCTCCACTTAGGCGTCGGATAACTATGGACCCCGGGATCTTGGACACAATATTAGTCAAACTAATTCCCCTATGGTTGTCACGATAATTTCTATCCCTTCCTATAGACTGGGATGGTCGATGGAGTAGACCAGTTTGACGCCACTACCTCTGGTTCCAATACACTACCTACTCCATCCTTGAAAATCTCAGGTGGTAAACCGTCAGGTCTTGCTGCTTTACATCGCTTTAGGTTCGATACAGCTTCCTCAACTTCAAGGAGAGTTGAAGGACCGACATATACGTTCACTTTAGATTCAGGCTGGATGTTGGACAAGATAGGTGTTGCTGAGGACCAGTTGAACTGTGCTTCAAAGTGTTCTGTCCAACGTTCTAGCCGTGTCCTGGGAGGTTATCAGCGTCCCATACGTTTCGGTGATGGTTTCAATAACCATCATCTTTTCGCCGGTATCCTTAATAAGCCTAAGCGGTTGCCGAGTGTTACCCAACGCTGAAGCTTTCTCCATCTCTTTCGTCACTCTTCACTGCTGGTGATTGAGGGGAAAACTCTCAGTCAACTTACGTCTTTAACTTGCTTTTGCTACTCATCGAGGTCAGACGCAGCTGGAATCAGTCTTCTCCAACCAGTCAGTTAGGGTGACGTTCTAGAGATTCAATGACGTTTGCTAACATATGGGTGTAGGTTACCAGCTGCTGTTTCTACAGCAGACTGAGTGTCACATTGGGTTTCTTCAGGATGAGGATTGTTGTCATGTTTGGATAAATGCTTAGCTATCTCTTCCCTAAATGCGTACTTGACATTCTCATCTTCCATTCCAGCCTATGCTATTGCCTTTTTCCTGCGACCAGTAAGGTATAAACATACACAAGTGCATTATCGGTGCTTCAGAAGTAGCTGCAATCCTCTCTGACGATGGCTTATAGCAATGTGGTCTATCTGTGTTCATCGTTGGTTTGAAGTCGGCAAATGGCATGTAAGACAGTGTTTCTAAAGTTAGTCCTGGTCAGAAACAAATGGTTGTCGCAGAACAATTGCAACAGGTAGTAACCGTCTTCGGTTCGTTGGTCCGGTATTCTGTAAATACCTCCAAGATGCCGCTCCGTATGGCTCAGCTTCCCTACTTTGGCGTTAAAGTCACTTATCATTGTCTGCATCTGAACGTTTCTGTAGCGAAATTGACAGTTTGCCATAGAATGCATCGTTTGCCTCATCCAACCTACAGTCGGTGGGTGCGTAGGCGGAAATTACGAATAGGCGTCAGTTGGTCTCACAATCCTTCCTAGTCCTTACTTATCCATTCAGTCGAACAGCACAAAGATACCTGTTGACTGGTATCCATTCAGGAAGTGAACTTACTGCTCTACAACTCAATGCTATGGCTACAATAGCGAGTCCATGAGAGCTAGCCACTGGGTCTCCGAATGCCCTTAGGGTGAATTTTGAAGTTCACTATAATGACCAGATGAGATCAAGTAAATAACCACAGTCTGGTCCTGTATACGTGTCTCCGAGACACAGCAAACATCCATAGATAAAGATTCCAGAGTTTTGACAAGCGATGCTTGCTGTCCGACTTGGCAGAGTTTGGACGTTGAAAGCTTCAACATGAAACTGATGGCAAGGTCTTACGAGGCTGAGATTGGAGTTCCGATGACTTTCATCTTTGGAAGTAATCACATAATGAGAGGTTGGGGAAGGTGTAAGGGGGTAAATATTAGTATCAGGAGATGAAGGCAAAGTTGAACAGGATAGGTTACGTTTGATTGGGTCTTGTGTACTACTAGAAGCGTGATGGCCATTGACACGTTCTGGTTTCTCACACCGTGATGAGCTGTTTCTCCTTAAGGTATCTGAAAGAGAAGAAATTTTGTTTGACTCCATAGGACATTTGACTGAGGTTTATCACACATAGTCTTTTGTGGGTTTCTGTCTTGAAGTTTAGTTGTTCTAACGTCGGATAGAGAGAACCCATATAGCCGGCACCGGAAGACTACAAGGTGATGTTTTTGTGGCCGAAGTTTACCAACCCATCCTTCCTGTTGGAGAAGGCAGCATCAGCGTGGCACTGCTGGCCATCCACATTTGAAGTTATCAACAGATCAACCTCGGCAACAGTCATAACCCGTATTCCAATCTTCCATTCTGGATAGCCAACAACCAGATAGTAGCTGGAGACTAGCTGAACTGCTGCTCTGACCCTTCATAACCTTTTCCTGAGGGTGTTACGGTCTTCTGCGGTGTTTTTACAGCGAACTGGAGATGAAGCCAGGCTTCTTCCAGATTAGTGATGTTGTCCTATTCCGATAACCGCCTAGCTATTTTCTCTGCTGTTCAGCTAGCAGTACTACTTCGCTTTTGGACTCCAATCCTAGCGTAGTAATCTACACTATAACGGTCACTGCTTTTGATTTTATCACTATCCAACTGCTTTTTCTTGAACTTGAGGTAACAAGCGTCTCACTAACATAAATAGCTGGGTCATTGCGATATAAAAGCCCGAACATAATGTCAAGGTAGAAGTTGTCGGTCTAAATACCGAAATGATCTTATAAAAAATCTAGAAATAAAGTATGCAATCAGGATGTATATATATTTAGATATTGCAGAATAAACGCTACAGAACTACCAATAATGTCAATTCTAGTCAATCGCTCTTTATTATGACACGCAGATTTCTGCAATATAAAGTATGTTACGTTAGTTGCATGTCTGATTATGACGTTAAAAGAAACTGAAGCTCATTCGCTTGAGTCCCCAACCTTTGACCTACTGTTAGTCTAAAAGCGTAGTTCGTTATCTAGTACAGAAGTCTGTGCATAGTCCAGAATTACATTCA